GAAATGGGACGCAATGCACAGACCCTTGTTGAGAACATCTACCGTGCAAAGGCTCAAGGATTTGTGTCCAGGCGAACAGTGTTTCAGTTCTTTGCTGAGTTTCGTGCTGAGAACATTCACCTGGAGGAGCAGCTGCGTTCCAGATGTTGACGCGAAGTTGATCGAAAGGCCGTCATCGAATCTATTGAAGAGGATCCGACACTGATTACGGGGGTGTTGGCCGACGATTTTGAACGTCTTCATGGACAATAACAGTGCCAAAAAACAGTAAAAACACGAAAATTTTTGGATGCAAATAAGAACAGTAACTATCGGCTTAATTTATATAATGACGATCCTTACTCGATCAGACATCTTAAAGGTTGATAGTGATAGCTATGATAGAGAGATACTGAAGAATGAGTTGCACGTAAGCGATAGACTCAGTGGTGTGGTGGTAACACTTTCCGCCGGAATTGGTGAAACGCATGTATCGATCCCGTCTGAGGTCGAATTCCTGCTCACCACTCAACTCCCTTAAACAAATCAGCAGATTAGTGAAGGCAGCAGGCTTGGCCACGCTTTGAGAAGCTTCAAAGCACCGGAACGTAAAATCAGACGTCATCCAGTAAGGAACAACTTCGGTATTAGGTGTCGTCGCGGGAGTGTTAAAGATCTTGACACATTGGTTATGCCAATTTTCCCTATATATTCCTATTTTAGTATATGTTAGAAAATTCTACTCGCTAGTTTTTCAGGCTATTTGGATGACTTTTCAACCATTTATGTTTTCTTCCAAGAACAAGTAGCGAGAAAACTTCGGTAGTCGAAAAAAACTGTTATATGATAAAAGGACATACTTCCATCTTCAATTTGGAATGTCGGCGTTGTTCGATTTTCTTTTCGACTTTTATTACGTATTCTTTTCTCGTATCTTTCTGATCATGAACTCTGAAAAAATTGAACTAAATCATTGTACTGAAATTTCACATTATCTACCAATTACTTGTACACCGTGCCGAATCCTCCTTCACCGGTTAGAATGACGACGACATGCTTAGCTTTGCTGGACTCGATTACTGTCCCCTAAACGGATTTGACCAGTGAGGATTATGTAACGTTTTCAATAGGTTTTAATGGTAAGAAAACCGACCGGTTTGATTCCAAGATCGTCTTCCTCCTCCTCGCTCATGTTGTGATTCAGCTAATAATGCTCTATCACACTTTGTTAATGCTTTTATAGTGGAGTTAGACATAACAAGTTGATGTTGATGATATGACATTGATTTCAATACTTATCTTTTATCATTGTTCAAAATCGTTTCTCTCATGACATTTTTCGTTCAATCTCGTTTAAGGTGGTCAAACATATCACAGAGGTTGGAACTGTGTCAAAATGCTGAGAAAACGAGAGCAAACCTGATTCCACAAGATTGTTTCCCATTTTTTGGTTAAACCGACGTATTGTGTAACCTGATTATTGGTGACTTGCTTCACTGCTAGGGAGGATGTCCTTGGCGGAAGCGATAGTTCACGTCCCAACTGAAAAAGTTTTGTAGGAGGTTGAGAATACTCTCACAATCTAACTACTACATTAGATGAAACAGTAGAGACAAATGCTCTAGCTGACTATACATCTCTTTAGAAGGTGGCGGCCGTGTGTCATAGGACTTTAATGATTACCACTTCAATTCATGATAATATATAATATAATATATATATAGATATGTGTTTTTACGTTCATCAATATGTTAGGGCTGCATCGGTTTGACATTGTTCCCTTATGTAAAGTGAGATTATTAGCTCTGATGCGCTCTATTCAACAATATTCTTTGTTATCGACCGCTCTTTTACAGACCCGCTCAAAATGATTTAATCTGATAAGGATATGACATACTTTGAGCCATAGGTCTAGTGCTATATAAGCGCCTATTTCGTCCTATTGGGACTCATCAGTAGCACCCTCCCTCGGTTCCGTCGATCCCTTGAGGTGAAATAATCCTCTAAAGGAATCGGCGCCGAGTAAAAACTAGGCATTCTTCATTCTAAAAGCCGCAATCTCGACTGCCGATCACCACAAAGTCAGGTAATACCATCATCCTACTTTGGGGTGCTTAGTTTTTACTCGGCGCCGATTCTTTTAGAGGATTATTTCACCTCAACGGATCGACGGAACCGAGGGAGGGTGCTACTGATGAGTCCCAATAGGACGAAATAGGCGCCTATATAGCACTAGACCTATTGGCTCAAAACAAGTAATATCCTTAACAGATTATTCTTTGTTACAAGTCAAGCAATGTATACAAATATATTAGCTTGGTGGAAGAGTATTTGAGGCCTGTGCAGGTTGAGATGCAGCGTTTATTATTGAGCTATATTTTCAAAATATCATTGTTTTGTTTTCAATGTTTCTTGAGATTAGGCCTGCACTTCAATGTGACTAATAGTTATTTTTTGAGCCGTGCATGTGATCTGTTGTCTGCATTTATGAAGTGCAGTACACGTGTTTCGGCATTGCAGCTTTATCAGTTGCACGGAACCTTTTGGTTCAGTCAGTTCCTCGGGGATCTGCCTTTAAAATTTCCCTATGTATTCTTCGAGGAATCGGCTGGACAAAAAGGCACCGTGCAACTGTTAAGGCTGCAATGGTGAAACACGTGTATCGCATTGTATAAGTGCCCATAACAGACCACATGCATGGCTCAATAATAACTATAAATTATTTTCAACAATATTGTTCACTTATCATATGTATTTACACGTGCCTTTCTCGCTTTACTTTTTGTTGCGAATGACGTATCACGTGTTGTATAGTTGAAGAAATTCTTCAATCGCTCTAGCGGTGGTATGATGTCACAGATATATATTTAATAATGTTGGGTAATATACAAAAGTCTCAACGTCAAACGGGAAGCGAGCCCACAATCCACCTTCTTTTAGGCGCGTGGTACCACTGCACTATTGGCGCTACTGTTGTGCCATCACTTGAATTTGCACATCACTCAACATTATTGGATATGCTTTTATAACATCATAAAACCGCCAAAGCTTTCAAATAAAATATTCAAAGTTGATCTTACTTGTATTCAACCGTTGACGACTGGTTATGATGACAGATCGATGCGTTGTGTCGCAGAGTGATGGAAAAAACATAACAGTCGGTGGTACAATGATTAGCACGCACAGCTGTAAAGGATGAAGTGCGGGTTTGATTCCCCGTCCGACGTCCAAGCTTTGCGTACCACTTGGCATTATTGGGCACTTGCTATATATCAACTGGAATTCTTTTCATTTGGCTGCTTTCGGCGGTGATATAATGTTGTAGGATATGCAAAATCTCTTGGCCTCGAGCGGGGCTCAGTTTCACATCACATTCTATCCCGGAGCGTGTGCTCTAACCCGTTGCACCATAATGTTTGTTTTCCACCACTCTTTCTACGCTACAACGCATCAAACTTTCAGCAAACGACCCTCAACAAAAAGATTCTAATTGGTCATCCATAACTCAATATGTGTCAGCGTGACTCGAATTAATGTCGATATCTGCTGACTGGGCCAAACTGTTCACGGTTAGTTGCTGAGAGATATATGCGTTATAGCGTAGAAAGACGGTATAGTTTAAGTAGGGGCTCGAGTCCCCATTAACTCAAATAGTTTTACACATCACTCTACAGCACTAACTGTTTTAATTTTACTCTAGACTATGGAAAGGATGTCAACTGGTGACAGAGTATTTGTTGTTGTTAATCGTGAGTTGAAAATATGTCGTAGAGACCACAGCGACAATTCCCAACATCAGCAGTGCATGGTACGGGATTTTAGCGAATGTACTAGTGCAATAGTGGTTCAAAAAATTGCGTAAAGGACACGGATTTCAAATTTGCATAAATGGCAAATTCTTATGCACCAGCCTCATCGAAAGTCGTGGAAAAAAGCAATCATCGAACTTCAAACATTTTTCACCGAGCAAAAAATTTTTTAGACATTTAGTGACCATTCGATAGTTTGAATCATGCCCAATTTCAATGATGTGGATAGGGATTTCGCAACATGGCCGCTGAGCTACAGCGTTCTTCCGGTGTTGAATTTGAGAAACTCTAATCTTCTATATGCCTGGTGAACATTTTTTAGCCACGCATGTGAGTGGTCTGTCAAAGAGGCTGACTTATAGAGTCCGATACACGCGTTTCAATCTTGCGATCTCGTCAGTCGGTCAGTTACCCTTTCTCGTCGACATAGAGTGTAAAACGTTCGTTGTTGCTAACTCTTAATGCGGGGACTGGAGCACCTACAGAGATTAGCAAAGGACGAGAAAGGGTAACTGCCAGACTGACGAGATCGCAAGATCGAAACACGTGTAACGGGCTCTATAATTTAGCCTTCTTTGACAGACCACTGACATGCGGGGCTCAAAAATGTTTACCAGTCATATTGAATTTTGAGCTGTGGTTTTTAGAAAACACTCGAAACGAAACTCAGTCTTCTGTTAATGAATACAGCGAAAAATCAGGTCCTTTTCAAAACCAAACACATTTTAGGAACCCACTAGATTTAAGCTATTGAATGACTAATAAAGGCTAAAATAAAACTTTCCTCAGCAAAAAATGTTTCAACGGGGAAAATTTCTGAACCAACTTGTCTTGTGATCTGTTAAATGGGCTCTTGTATAGCCTGGCACACGTGTTTCGACCTTGACAGTCTTATCACTCTGCCAGAACCCGTCGTCTTTTGGCTCAGATAACAATCAAGAGATATACCAAATGATGTAGAGTGGTGCGCAAAACACTCGCGCCGGCCGAGATTCGAACCCAGATCTCCTTCTTTCCCGGAGCGCGTGCACCATATAGCATCATACACCGCAAAAGGCGGTCAAATAAATGAATTTCGATTGATTATTGAAACACAATATCTGTCAACATAAGTGGGTTTAATGCCGATAGCGGTTGCTACGCCAGACCAACGACGGTTGACTGATGACAGATAACGCGTTGTAGAGTAAAAAAGAGTGCTGTGCAAAACGAGCGTCGGTGGTGCGACGGTTCAGCACACGCTCCCGTAAAGAGTGAGATCTGGGTTCGAAATCTCGGCCGACGCGAGTGTTTCTGCACACCACTCTACACTTATTGGGTATATCTTTTTACTGTTATCTGAGCCAAAAGACGACGGGTTTTGGCAGACTGACGAGACTAGTCAACGTCGAAACACGTGTGCTAGGCTGTACAAGAGCCCATTTAACAGACCACAAGACAAGCTGGTTCAGATAATTGTTCCCCGTTGAAACATTTTTTTGCTAAGGAAAGTTCTAGTTTAGCCTTTTTTAGTCATTCGATAGCTTCTATCTAGTGGGTTCCAATGATGTGTTTGGTTTTGAAAGGAAGTTGATGTTGCCATGTAACCATTATCAAGATTGAGTTTCGCAAATTTTACACAAGGAAGACGCTGTAGCATAGCGGCCTTGTTGCGAAATCTCTATCCACATCATTGGATTCGGCAAGACTCAAATTATCGAGTGGTCACTAAATGTCTAAAAACTTTTTATTCGGCGAAAAATGTGGGAAACATTACCTCAATCTTGGTGTTACAGTACAGTAAAAGAGCCATCTTGAAAACATAAATGTCATCGAAATCTCCGAGATCTGAGCTACTAGATAATTGCTAAGATTCAAGAAAAAAAAATGGCGCGTTTTTCGCAAGGGATCGAAAATATGTGCGAACTACGGAGATGATCTTAATTTGCAAAAACCAATCTTCTTTTGATTGATAAAACGCAGCAAAAAATCATTACAAAAGTTAGACACATTGTTGTAATCCCAAGACTCAGCTATCGAATGATTACCAAGCACTAAACAAAAGCCTCGTACAGCGAGAAATACTTGAAACAGAATCACAATTTCATTTTTACTGCTACAGCAGAATAAAAAAGCCGCTTCGAAAATAAATGAAATGTTCAAGCTTTTCTGATATTTCACCTGTATGTTTGTCATTCCATTTATCGTCGAGTGACTCGAACGCGCATCAGCTACACTTTCATTTTTCCTCATCGCGTGCATTAGTAGTCCAGTGATTACTTATGGCTCCAAGGATTCGCCGAACATCATATCTTTCTTCTAAGCTTTGTGAAGAAACCGGACTATTCCCTAGGAATCCAGCTGGTAACAGCTCTCACCTACGGTTGTCGTTGAAGCGCATTACGTGTCCGGCATACTCTACCTTTTTCTTATTGCGAGATACGGTATACTCGTAGCACCGCAGTTTCCATTGCGCATTCAATAACGACAAGTGATCTCTCATCCTGCTTATGTAGCGACCAGGGTTTTGCTGCATACGTTAGGGCAGAAATAATCCTCGAGTCGAAAAGGTGGGCTCGCAGTCGGATGCTCTTTGTCCTCTTCACTACATCCTCATGTTCTTAAACGTTCCCTAAGCCGCTTCTTCCTTTCTGCTCATCTCTGGAGCTAGGTCGTTCATTATGTTACTTCTTATTTCCTTAGCAGTCTTATCTGTGATCTGCATGTTTTCATTTATTTTGCTCCTTCTATAGCAGTGTCAGACGTTATAACTATATATTCCAAGAATGCTGGATGTTATTCAGAGCTCTGACTTAACTGATAGTTGAAGCCGCATTTCGTCCATACCGAGGGAGCGTGCTAATTTATAACCATGAAAGAGCTGGGCTTGAAAAGTCTCAAAATTGCCTCTACACTGCAACTCAATCCAAACCTGACGTCTCTTAAGAGGCGAGTTAGCTTCTGTGGAGCTTACCGGACGTGTTTTCGTCATGACCATGCTTGCAGACTCCAAACAAGTTCTAACATTCTAGAAACAACCATAAACTGAATGATTTCAATCTTTCGTATAAACCTAGCCTTCGAACCACATGCAGCGCCACACACAGTTTTTGAAATCTTGGAAGGTGATAAGAGTAAAGTCATAAACGTAACTACTTTGCATTCTAGTATGCCTCCGAGTGACTGGAGTCAGAAGAAGTGTTCTTTATTTACACCTGACGCGCAGCGGAGTTTAGACTGGACGATGCGTCCCTCCACATTTTTCTGGGATTTTATTTATTTGTGCTTCAGCTAAAAGATACAATGAGAAGCTTGACGCTCTCTGCCGTTTCATACCTTGATGAGACTCTACATTAAATTTTAGGATTAGAATGCCGAGCACGCTACAAAGCTTGGAGCTTCTGCTAAGGGTTTGATCTTCCAAAGCGCATTGCATTTCGATGCCGCAAAGAACAGTAAGTGCTTAACTTGCGGGTGGTTACACAGTGTGTGTGTGCGACAAAGACGCTGCTTCGTCGACAAAACAGAGAAAAGAAAGATGGAAAGTTCACCAACGCATAAATCAAATAAGACTTATTTTCCTGTAGTGTTGTTGATGCACTTGACATGTTGGTATTAAAAACAGCCAATCCTCGTCACTAATTCCCTCTTATTCAAAACACTCGCAGATGTTATCAGTAATCAAAGTAAGTTTTTTTTATATCAATTTCGCTTCCCTCTGTCGTCCTGTTGGATTTTGGACTCAGATCTTTGTCCTTCACCACGTATCTTTCATCTCGACGAAATAGACGGGGCTGAATATATCTGGGATTTTCGCATAGATGTTTGTCACATGGATCATCACAAGAATCCTTGCGACAGCATTCCTTCCATTATGGCCACAAGCCCAAAGCGTTCGCCCATCAGTTGGGGAAGTGATCACCTTTTACTTGTTGAAAATGCTCACTTACCAGTGCAATGCTAACAACAGCCATCAAAATGAGAATATGCCTCATGTTCTTCCCAGAAGACTATACAGCTGCAAATGATGTAGGCTGACCTAAGCTACATGGTTGCTCCCAATCAAATAAGGAAGCAAGAAATAGGTAAAGACAGTTGCAGAGCCAAAGAGCATGGAGCGATGACCAATGGTGCTGCTTATATTTGTCTTGGAGTAGATGGACTTACGATATAGTTTCAGAGTTTTCTAGTTAACACAATCTGATAGAGCTGTTTATGTGGAAAAATGCGTAGACAAAGACACGAAAGTTTCTACAAAAGAGCTTGTTGAAGTTAGATATAATGGCCATAATAAATGTGACAAAGTGCATCAGATAGTGACATAAAGCTTACACAAAAGGATTGTCGGAAAAATTTTTGTAAGTGCAATCCAAGTTCAAGTGAGGGCGTAGAAATCACATCTCTGCGAAGGTAATCCACATGCCAATTATTCAGTTTATGAGGAAATTAAGAATAGTATGGACCATTGTTTGACTTACCTGGCAGCTATACAAGAAAAGACTTTTATTCTAATTACTCTCGTCATATACCCAACTACTTGGATACTTGGGCGCTCCGCCTCCACTGGTTGTGCGGATGCCAGCACATATTCCATTCATACCTTTGCTGCGCGACAGTCGCCTATGACGATGGTCTAATGAGCATAGCGGCTGCTGCGAGTGTCATACCGTGATCTGAGAAATATCAACAGCTGGAAGCACAACTCCTTTATTCTTCTGACGAACATCTCGGCTCAACGTGTAGATGGCCGCCCTCGAGGATGCGTACATTGTCGTGGAATCTACTCTACACTTCTTCTCGTCCATCGGTCGTCTGTTCTTCTCGGCATAAGGAGCATTCCTGCTTCTGTGCTTCTAAGAATGCGAAAGAGCGCGCTAGGGAATTTATTTTCTAGAAGGCCACGTGCGTTGCTCCATAACATCTTCGTTGATTGGTTAGTCTGACTCTGTCTGGAATTGGTGCCCTGAAGAAGAAAGAAGCGCACGGGGACGTTTTTTGCTTACCCGTCTACGCTCGCCATTTCAGAATGCGAAGCGGCCGCACAGTCACGAATTTCTAAAAGAAGTAGACTGCTAAGCCGAATGAGTTAACCAGGCTAAGAAAGCCAATCTTGTGTCAAAAATGTCGAAGCTATTAATTTTTGACTTTTCATGAAATTGAATTTCAAATAAATTTGAAAAGAAAGGTGTTTCAAAAAAGAAGTCATTCGTATATCAGGAGCGTGCCATCGGCTCGAACTCGTTTGGGCATTTGAAAACACACTAGCACTCACCAGCCTGTTATGTGTTTATCCTATCAAGGTTGTTTTATTCAATAAGCGTCTCTGCAAAAACGACATTGGATTTGTATTAGAGCCATATGAATCATCGGAATGTTAAGGTTAGCAATTTAATTCGACCTGCTCTCACATTATCTCTTGTGTGTGAAGATGAGTCAGTCTGAATACTCTGCACATTGGGTTCTCAATAGCATCAGTCTGCCATATAATATATGAAATGCAATAAAATTTTGCGTTGCACAGGGTGCCATTGAAAGCAGATAAGGTGAATACTTCCGCAACACACCATGGAGATTTGAAAATGCTGACAAGCAGTGATCTAACGAAGACAATTCCATAGCACGATTCTAAAGTATTCGGCAGCCACTCTCGGCATGTTCTATAGCAAATGTTTCCCTTTCTTATGAACTGACCAGAACTGACACGCTTAGCTGACTATATCTCATAACCACAGGCACACTTTGAACACAAATGAAAGATCGTCTCGCACGACCCAGTACATAAAATTTCAATCACCACATTGAGACCGACCATTTATGCTTTCATGCTGGCTGACGGCCATTAAAGATGTCTAAATCCGATGCGCAGAAAAGGCGCTGTTGCTCTAACATACCTCTGAAGCTGAGACGCTCAATATTTTCTGTTGGAAGACCAGCAAGCAAACAATATGCCATACTAGAAATCACCGTTGTCCCGGTGTTGAATTAGCTGCCAAGAGACAATTACCGCTATAGTCCGAAAAGACGGGCATCCGACCTAAATTACATTTGAACAACTCGCTATCAAGTCTGTTTTCACCTTTCCAACAGTGGTCTAACAGTAGTGTCTTCAGAAAACCAATCTTGATGCTTCACTAGAGTAGGTGAAAGCATTAAACTGTATCACCCAACGATGACAAAAAAAAAATTGCCGCATATATCAATTAAATGACGTCGTTCTTGAACATCATTGAGGGTTAAATTTCGCTACAAAATTTTGTAGTTGCTGTCACTGTTGTACACCCACTAGTTTCCTATCGGCTCACCCTAT